AAATAAAATATCTAAAGGATTGATGATACAGATTAATTTTCACAGCCTTCTTTGATCATATTTACCAAGGCTATGAATAATTTTGAGCACAAGTGTATATGAGCTAATATTTTTTTTTTGTAATTCAACTTTTTGATTGTTCAACAGTCAAAACTTCGTACATCACCACAGTATTCAATATTCACCTTTCCAACCAATTACATATTCAGCCACTAGTCACCATCAATGTAATAAAACAAAAGCACATGGAAATTTAACAGTTGTTAAGGAGTCCTGCTCATCAATCACACCATTTTTATATGCTGCCAAAAATGATCCCATGTTTTTTTCATTTCTCCCTCACTCTGCAGTCTCCCCAACATGCACTCATATGATGCAATTTCAATCATCCCATCAATCCAATCTTTCAAATCTGGGGTTTTGGGGCATTTCCAATTGCGCAAGATCATCCTGGCAGCTGTGATACAACCAATCTTAATAAGGGTAAAAGCATTTTTTGCTATATTAGGTACAGCTGATTATTCTCCAAGAAGGCATAATTGTGGTTACACAGGTAAATTAAAGCCCAACCACTCTTCAAGTATGTAATGTAACAAATATGTAAATAAGTGCCCTCGTCTTCCTTACATTTCCAACAGATATTATTTCCAGCTATCCCCATCCTGTAAAGTCTAGATGGTGTATAATAGTATCTATGTACTATTTTGTAATGAATGAATTTTCCCCTAGCTTCCCTTATGTTCTTACCCACATTAGATAAGATATCCAGCCAGTCATCATCATGAATATTAATCCCCAAATCCTTCTGCCATATTGTTTTCAGGTTATTACAAGTATCCGCAGTTACATTAAGCATTGATTTGTAACACACAGAAGCAGTTTGAGTTTCACATGGTAACTTAAGATAGGCATACACAGGGTTATCACTTGCACTGAATTTGTTCTTAACACAGTGTCTGATCTGCAGATATTTCCAAAAGTTTCCTTGGCCCACAATATTATATTTTTCCACCAATTCAGAATATGACAGAAATATTCCATTCTCATATAGATCGCCAATTACTGTTACCCCTTTAAGATGCCATTGTTTCCAAAACACCCCTTTTTTGCCTATACAGATTTCAGGATTATTCCACAATGAAGCATATGACTGTTTATGATGTCATGTCTTACACAGTTTATTAATTTTGCTCCAGACATGTCTTGAGTGTGTTATCACTGGATTTGAGTCCCATTTAGCTCCAGAGCTTTGCGAGAGAATACTAATGCGATGAAATGGTGAGGCCAGTCCAACTCAGAGTCTGTCTCACTCCAATGTTTAGCCAGTTTGGCCATTTCAAAAGAGAAATTATACATCCTCACATCCGGTAATCCAAGGCCCCCCTTGTCCCTTGGGGAAATCAATTTACTAATTTTAATCCGAGGTCTTTTTACCATTTTGACAACATTCACTTTACCCCATAGAAAGTTTCAGCTGTTCCCATTTGTCCACATAATTTGTTATCTTTGACAGCAGTGGGTCATAATTCAACATCATTTTATCTTCCAAATTCTGAGTTAGTTTAACCCCAAGCCAACACCTTACAGTCCACATTAATAAGGCTTACTGGTCTAAAATTAGCAGGATCCGTTAAATCCCTATCCTTTTTAGGTATCAGTGTTATCAATGCTTCCATAAAAGTACTAGGTAACACTTCAGCTTCAAACGCCTCTATATAGACTTCTGTTAAAATTGGAGCCAATATGTCGACATACTTTTTGTAGTATTCTGACGAAAGCCTGTCTGCCCCCGATGATTTGCCAGGCTTCATAAAGGTTATTGCAGCTCTGACCTCTTCTTGTGTAATGGGAACGTCTAGAGACTCTGATTGTAAGACATCTAATTTAGGCATCTTTATATCCCTCGTTTCCTCGTTTTGTTAGCAGCGTTTTGTTGTTTTAATTGTCTGGAAAGGAGCTTGCCCGCTTTTTCACCTCCTTCGTAAAACCTAGTTCGTAGTCTAAATAATGCATACTCAGCTTTTTTAGTATATATATCATGTAACTGAAATTTGTATTTCCAAATATCCTGATATAAATCATTAGAGTAAAGTCTAGCCAACTCCTTCTCCATTATACAAATAGTTGTTTCCAATTTCTTAACCAAATCTGTTCCGTCCTTTTTCTTTCTTGCTGCTTGCCGTTGAAGTTTAAACCAGCAAAGGACCAGCTTAAACCAGCATCCCAGCGTCCAAACATACCTAACC